CCCAAATGACCTTGTGTGAACTTGGCTAGGGTTTTTTATATGCAAAGTGGTTAACTAAATGAAAACAAGTTTTCACAGAACTTAAAGGTACAGTACATGATTTTTGCATGATAGTAGCGAACGTTTGGGTGAACGAGAGGATGGAAATGGTCATGAATATGGAAACCATGACTCAAGAAACAACTCAAAATCTTTCATAAGTAGGATACTGCATTTAAGACATTGTGAATGACACTAAATGCCTTACTAAATTCTGACACTTTTAAACAAGTAGTTTTTATTTTTGGAATTAAAAATAATAACATGAGAAGAATAAGACATAACCAATTATGTTTATGTGAATAATCGCCAAAATGGGTATTTTGGCATAACTTGACAGCATATTGTGCTTAACTCTTTTTAATATCAAACACGTTCTGTGCTTTATTTTCCCTTATTCACACAAATGTGTCAATAACTTTCAGGTAGTACTGGACTTTTTGTGATTATTTTGCCGTTAAATGCAAAATTATGCAGGATCACAAAAATTTACATTGCGTTGTGTTATGCTATCACTGAATCGTAAAAATCGAAGGGACTGGCTAGTGTAAAATTTCACTAAAATTGCATATTTGGACTATTTCATGTTTCAGTTAGCATAAATAATAAATCTGTTCTTATGTATGCGTTTAAGTTCTTGAAGGTGACCTTTGACGACACCACAGGTCTGTTGAGCAGCCTGACAAACCTGGAAACGAATCAAACCATTCGACTCACTCAGAACTTCTACTGGTTAGTTTAGGCTGATTCAGAATCAGTCTGTGCCTTCCAGTTTCTGGTATCTTTTATGGTATCTACCATAGTATTATCTTAAATACAATGATATTCAGTATTTACTTCTCATGTTTGATGGTATCAAAAAAGTGAATCATAGCCAAAAAAAGAAGTAATGTGTATTTCTCTGTGTGCTTTTTGACAATTGCAGGTATAATGCAAGTTCTGGGAATAACAAGGAGAGCCGGCAGCCGTCGGGGGCTTACATTTTCAGACCAAATTCTTCAGACCCCTTCGTCATTAACAAAACTGCTGAAATACAGATAGTTACAGTGTCCAGCACAGTTCAAGAGGTGACGCAGTGGTTCAGCCCCTGGGTGTCACAGGTTGTCCGTTTGTATGAGGGCCATAGGGAACTGGAGCTGGAGTGGACCGTGGGACCTGTGCCTATTGCGTGAGTAAACATACACAATCACAGATTTCTCTGGATTGTAGATTTGTTGCGAAAATGAAAGTAAGGCTTAATTGCTCTGACTATCTGCTCTCTTTCTCTTTTCAGAGATGGTTTAGGGAAAGAAGTGATCACTCGTTTGGACACAGACATTGAGTCCTCTGACTATTTCTACACTGATTCCAATGGCAGAGAGGTTCTAGAACGACGGTGAGGAGATTAAAAGAAATAGAAGGATTGATTACAGACATTTTAATGTCCATTTTAATATATATATATATATATATATATACTTTTTAAATTGCAATATTTTTTACTATGTTTTGATCAAATACTGTAAATGCAGCCTTGGAAAGCATAAAAAACAAAAATATTAAAAAACCTTACCGATCCCAAACTTTTAAATAGTTATGTAGCTCAGCTGTTGGAAAAGTAATCTAAGGAGCAGTGTAATTGTAGGAAAGATTATCGGCCCACGTGGGATCTGAAGCAGACAGAACCAATCGCTGGAAACTACTATCCAATCAATTCTCGCGCTTACATCAAGGCAAGTGTCATTCAGCCAATTACGTCAGATTTCTTGTCATTTTTTTGGATCCTGGGTCTGTTTTTATTATTTTGTTAGTATATTTTAGACTCCATTTATTTTATTTACATTGACGTATACATTTTTTTTGTCTTTTTATATTGTCTTCATCCTGGTTTTCGGTTGTCACTCATATTTTCATAAACAGGCTTGGGCCTAACCTGTCAGGAAATCTAATATATGTGTGTGTGCATTTAGGATGACAAGCATCAGCTGACAGTAGTGACTGATCGCTCTCAAGGGGTCAGCAGCATCTATAACGGCTCGCTGGAAATCATGGTAAAAATAAAATTACCTTTCCTTCTCTGTCAATCTCTCCCGCAGTTTAGTTCAATTTAAAAGTGCTTTATTGGCATAACAGAATGTATGGTGTATTTTCAAAAAATAAAACTTAGAGGAGAACAAAAACTAAGATAATGAATTATAAATGAAAAATAAATGTAAATAAAAATGAGTGTGAGTGCCGTAGCTAACCACAGTGTGCCGATGCACAGCCATATCACGTGGCTACAAGCATTCCAGAAGATCTGGCCGAGGTGAGGCTGCTCTCGGCGGGTTCAGAAGCGCTGAATGGCCACTGATGCCCTGGAGCTCACATCTCCGAAATGCCAAAGCAAATTTTCAAATAGACGTTTTCTTTATTAACAGACTGCATATTTGAAGTCTAAACAAGAGCATTCGTGTCTAAAAAAAAACTATATTCTGACACAAAAACAGTATTATTTTTACAATTATAGTGGATTTGGGCGTCCGCCATGATGCTCACTGTGAGAAATACTGCAAGCGGAGTTCTTTTATCACTAGAATATCACACTCCTCTCAGCCAATCAGATTCGAGGACCAGAAAGAAGTTGTATAAATATATATACATATCTGTATGTATGTATAATTAAATTTAGGAGCCTCCAGAAGCTTCCTTTAGGATACTATATTAAAATAATGTATTTTTATTAGTGCTCGACAACAACTAATTGTAATTACTTGCATCCAAAATACACCGTACACACATGTATTATGTATCTATAAATACACACACATGCATGTATATATTTAAGAGAAATATGTTATGTTTATATATTAAATATATAATATAAATTATATATATATATACACATGTAAATATTTTCAAAATATATAGGTATGTGTGTGTCTTTATATATACATAATAAATAAATATATATATATATATATATATAAATATATATATATATATATATATAAAACAAAAACTTTTATTTTGGATGTGATTAATCATTGCCCAGCACAAATTTTTATATATAGCTTATAATAATGTAGGTTATTATTATTATATTATTAATTGTGACATGGTCTCTATATGCTAACAGCAAACTCTCTCTCAGCTGCACAGGAGACTGCTGTATGATGATTTTAGGGGAGTGGGAGAGCCTCTCTCTGAGCCGGGAGAGTTTTTTGATGGTTTAGTTGCCCGAGGGCGCCTGCTGCTGACCCTCACTCCACCAAACATGGCCGCAGATGTCCACAGACCCCTCGCACAGGGTATGGTGCTCCAACCCCTGCTCTCCTTCCAGGATGGCACACCTCTCGCCAATACAAAACTGGAGGTTTGTAGAGGATCAGTGGATGGATGAACTAAAAAGTTTCCTCATCATTAGCTTAAACCAGGTGTGCCCAACACTGTTCCTGGAGATCTACCTTCCTGCAGAGTTCAGCTCCAACCCTGATCAAACACAACTGAACCAACTAATTAAGATCTGAAGTAACACTTGATAATTACAGACAGGTGTGTTTGATCAGGGTTGAAACTGAAGTCTGCAGGAAGGTAGATCTCCAGGAACAGGGTTGGGCACCCCTGGTTTCATGACTGAATAACTGACTGATCATTCCCTCCTTCCCATAGTTCTCTGGGCTTCAGGATGCTCTGCCCCCTGCTGTTCACCTGTTGACACTGTCTCAGTGGGATAAAGACTCGGTTCTGATTAGGCTGGAACATCAGTACCAGGCCAAAGAGAGCAAAACACACTCGCAGCCCATTACAGTCAACTTACAGGTAACACACACATTTTCATTCCTACTTACACTAAGTAATTATATCCTGCTGCAGTCAAACACTGATTGTGTTTCACAGGGACTAAGAGCTGTATATACATTTTCAGAACAAACATCCAAAAAAAAATCTCTTTAATAAATGATGTTTTAAATTGTTTTAAAATATCTTTCTTATGCATTCAGCACTGTACTAAGCTAGTTGGCTAATCTGTTAACCTGCTAACTGAAAACAAAGTGTAACTGAAAGATTTTAGCTTCAGCAATGAAATGTAAGTCATTAGCTAACATGATTTTCATGATTAAGAATTTCTGGTTATTTATAAACAGGCACCAAATAGAGCATCCATAAAAAAATAGTCGTAGCTCAGGAATCTCTTTGGGGTCCAAATGGGATAGGATTTGGCATGACTAATTAATAATTTTAATAAAAATGTATGACCTTAATGCTTATCTTTTTCTAAAAAGCAATAAGACACTTGAAGCAGTGCAACACCTATTGTGTGTTGTGTAGTCAGCTCAAGTGCCTTATTGCTTATAGCACATAAAAAATATTAATGAATAATGATAAACTTTATCTTTGTGTGTGCAGAAGCTTTTTTCTACTCTGGAGGTGCTCGGAGCATCTGAGATGAGTCTAGGGGCAAATCAGTGGAAAGAGGACATGAACCGCCTGCAGTGGAACACAGGTAGCCAATTCTTAATTTCTCTAACTTTTTAACAAATTAGCTTCCAGAAATTAAGTGTTTGACGTGTTTGTCTTTCAGCAAAGGCATCAAAGCCCCTTCCACTCAGTGCCAAAGACCCCTCACCATGGGAAGTCACACTAAACCCAATGGAGATCCGCACCTTCTTGTTGCAGCTACGACAGCTGTAGAACCGACAACCTACAGATCACTGTACGAGCCAATCAGAGTGTAGCATTGGAGTATCCAAACCTGGCACTGATTCATGAAGAGCTGAACTACGCTGCATCGCTGCTGGTTCTAGTTTTTTTAATTTTGTAAAATTTGAGTATAAATATTCTTCACACTTCACTGTGCCATATTCTGCATTAATCTCACGAGCTCTACTTTGGTTAGCTACTGGCCAAATGGGCATCTTGTGTTTCTTCTAATATTCATTTGTGCAATAATTTGATTGTATTTTTCTATTGTGCCTTTCATATGAAAATGACACATTTTTAAAGAATGAACTGTGGAATAAATTTAATGACCAGTAATAAATTGTTTTTAAATGATACATGATGTGTCCCGCTCATGCTGAATAGAAATACATAACCATTCACTTAGTATTTACTTGCCAGGCAAAACTAGAACATTCAAAATATAAAATGACTGCAAATAATAAAATGTGTCCCACCAACGCATCGCCAGAAAAATTAAACTTGCATGGCACAACTCCACTTAACATAAACTTTAGTTGCGAATCTGTACACATTTGGACACATGCATTATGCAGTAGTGAGAAAACCACTTAGTCCATCTTTTCCTCAGTTTCTTGCTCGTGTTCATGCGAATAACAGCATTTATCTCCATATGTACATGTTCCCTAGAAAAGAAAGAAAATACAATAGCTTTGTTAAGTAAACTAGCTGTTGTGATTTAATATGTATGCATTATTGCTTGAATAATTTATCAATTAAGGGCACTTATGACTACTAAACCGAATTAATTAATCTTATACATTAAACATTTATCACATGTACGGGAATAAAAGTTGGATGATAATTCTTGTACTTAGCTAAATGAAATGGCTTGTTTCTGAATTTAAATTCTCAAATACTGACTAGTTTGGTAACAACAACTAAGGCAACGCTCCGTGTTCAAATGATTCTGAAATCACTATATATTGTAGTCAAGCAGACGTACCTTCCGAAACTTCTTACAGGGGAAGCTCTTGAGTTGAGAAGAGTCTGTGATCGGTTTCTTTCTTTTACCCTGAAACTGTTTCCTTTTGTCCTCCAGCTCAGAGGAGATTCCTCCACTAAATACAAGAAAAGATGATTTACCCTTTTAAAATCAGTTGAAAGATTTTGCTTATGATTTAACAAAAGAACATTAGCAGTATGACCCACCCAGCTTTGGCACGGGCTTTGGGTCCCCAGTTGGCCTGTGGGTTCTCCTGGAAACGTGTGAGGTGCCGTTTTCGTGATTGAGGGTTTGCGTCTTCTCTGATTTCAAAGCAGGCTTGAAGACTAAATGAGAGAATATGAAGATTAATGGTAATAAAGTTGTATTTTTATTAAACTGCAATTAAACTAAACTAAAAGGTACCACAACATACACAACAGGGATTTGGTAACACTAGTATAGGGACCAATTCTCACTATTAAAGGTGCACTAAGCTATATATATATATATATATATATATATATATATATATATATATATGAGTATTTGATATTTGTTTGATCATTACGTTGGCTCTTTGGAGAGAATGCGGTGAGCAGGACTGGTTTCTGATAACCGCTCTCTTTTCACAGGGTTGGACTTTTCCTGAGGAATACAAAAACAGAGAAATTATGTTTTTCACACAATTTACCTTTATTCTACACCGCTCTGTCCCTTCTCTTTTGAACGCTCCGATGATTTCCTGTTTTTATGAAGCCCCTCCCTCAGAAATAGGCGATGGGCTCAGATTGGTTAGCTGGCCCAGTGTGTTGTGATTGGCCTGTGCAAACCGCCTCTAGTGCGCGTCTGAACGTCACGCCCCTCACCTCAGTGGCGTGCACTCCCGTTGTATTGTAAACAATGGCGTTGTCAATATTGCTCATCAATTTGAGCCCGATTGTGACCCAGAGAATATTAGTGAAGAGGATCTCGCAGAACCTGTGTGAAAGCACGGCTCTTAATGGTATGTTTTTTGTTTGTTGTCTATATACGGTTTTATCCTGATTAAAGCTTTAATACAGCACGCTAACTGCATGGTGTCACATATTCTGCATGTGACCATGTTTAACGCTTCTCATAGCTATGTGAAAAATATCTGTCAGTCTATAAACAAAGTGTATAATTGGAACACAGTTCTTTGATGGAGCTGTGACGAGTTGATGATCTGAATGAGAGATGCGAGGAACAGCATTAAGAACCGCTGCTTTAGAACATTGATTTTGAAACTTGTGCATCCTTTAGAATGGTTAGAAGACAGAATAGCGATTCATATATGAATAGATTTTTTCATGCACCCCTAGTTTTGACAGCATGGCAACAGCTCTTCCTCTTCTCTAAAGCAGCACAGCATGGCCTCGCCCCCTTTGTTACATGTTCCCAGGGGTGGAGTTTATGTAAATTTCCGGGAAGTAGCTTTTTGAAGTCCCCACGAGCCGTTTTTGTAGGCATTAAACTGCCATAATTTTAAAAGACGATATCTCCGTTTGCATGGAACTTTCAGCGTCATAACTTTGCAGATATTGTTTATGCTCAAACAGCAACATTTAACTAACGGTAAAAAGTGAAAACGCAATCAACCACCCCTTTAAGAGTTTATAGTGTTCACTTACCCAGCAACGAATGATGTTCCACAACACCTCAGCAGGAGCGTCGGTCTTCACTGCATTTTTGCAGGCATGAGAGAGAGACACTCTGTACCCAGCGTGCAGGAGAGCTGACCTACACCACAGAAAGAAAATGAGGACACCCTCCATTGAAAGTCTATTGACCCAAAACTCTTGATGCTTTAAAACCCATATGAAGTGAGCGGTTTAATCCAGGTATTCTGAAGAGATACAATCTCTTCATATAATGAAAAGATTTAATTGATGCCTTTATTCACATATAAACATTGATCAGCGAACATAAAAGCTCAACCATACTTTGACATTTTCTCTAAAAATATCCTTTTTTTTGGTATTCCAAAAATGAACAAGAGTCTTAAGACTCTCATAAAATGTAAATGACAATTTTAATTTGGGGGTGAACTAACCCTTTAATTAAAAAAAAAAAAAAACGTACTGACTCTAATCTCTGCAACAGTAGTGTGTACATAACACAGGTTGAATATGTTATATAGAGTTTACCTGAACTGCAGCATGGACGGAGTGTTGCAGTGAACTGTGCTGCTTAAATGATCCAAAACATAATACAGAGGAATATCCTGCAGCTCCTAAAACACAAAACTCAAACTATTAGCACTCATTCTCTATTCAGAAAACCAAAACTTATTTCCCTGGATACATTTAAAATGTCACAATCATGCTGATAATTCTTACTGTGAAGTTTATTAACGACTGACCTCGGTCACCATGCTAAGCACCCCCTCGATCCGCTTGGACGTTCTGAAGCGGGTGGGGTTCCCTGAAATGGCACTCAGAACCTTCTGAACAAATGTAATGTCATGAATAGGCTCCGCCCAGATGGGACCGCCCAACTGCAAATACAGAGAGAGGACCAAAGTCATCAAAACAAGGTGAGGAACTAAATGTTCATCGTTGAATTATATACTGAAGCATGTCAGTTGCTTTTATACAGTAATGCAATGATATTGCATTTCTGGTCAATACGATAAGAACAGTTTGATAAATGGCTGAATCAAATCCTATACTATTTTGTCTGAATAAATAAAAGAGGAAACATTAAAACTAAAATTGATCATTTTAAATATTACAGTATAGGCATTATAACTTGTAGTAGTATTTCCCAAACTGGGTTTTGCAAACCCCAGAAATTAATATTAGTTAATTATGATTTTATAAAGATACATTTAACAGTGTTATTAAATGACGACTTCTTGTTGTAAAAACGTGTATAATGCAAAAAAATAGGGTAAATGAGAGGATTAACACACAATTAAATGTCCAATATTGGCTGATTTATGTTCAATATCAGCTGATACTGATTTATTAAAAAAAAGTCTATTTAAAAAAAAAAACCTGCAGAAAACCTATATATATATATAAACAGCATCTACTTTAGATATATATTTTTTGTAACTCTATAAATATTGCACTTTTTCATGTATGATTACTAGCAGCTATTTTATCTCTATATAGACAGACAGAGTAAACTATGTTTTACCTTGCAGAATTTTTGACCACGACTTGGCCTGTTTTGACTCTGACGAATACACGGATGTAGAAATCCACACTCACACTCAAGAGAGGTTCAATGTAGCGCTGATAAACAGCTGCTCTCTGATCTAAACTGTGCAGAATTATACGTAAAGCCTAGAATAAAAAGAAGAAAAAAAAGTGTGTGATTAAGACATAGATATGATGTTATGATATGAGTTTCCTTCATTGCATCCATTTCCAGTCAGCCCGATCTTACCATCTCATGACAGTATTTGGACTTGATGGACACAGAGCCATATTTGCTGTAGCAGGTCTCCCCGCTATTTCCAGCCATTACAGCCATATCCGTACACGTAATGCAGAGCAACCCTGATAATGAGAGAGCGAGATTACTGTATGTGTACTGCATATAGTGTTAAATAAATTCAGAATGTGCATGTAAGAGAACAGCGACAGACTCACCACCCTCACTGACAGCCTGCACAGCTGCATCCAGAAATGGAGAAGGGCTGCCATAGGGGTCAAGATCAATAACATCATATAGTTCCTTCCTCCCTCTTGCCTCATACATCACCATACTGTAAAGAAGTTGTTATACCAGGATTTAGGATGTAACTGAATCAGTGTTACTGTTAACTAAAACTATAACAAAACATTTTCAGTAATTGGGAAAAAAAATACAAATTTGATAAAACAAACAAACATAAAACTTAAAAATGAGGAGGGGTGAAATACTACAATTATAATAATTATTATTATAATTAATAATTATAATTAAAAAATAAAGCTTGAAATTACAGAAATAAAAAATAAAAAGTAAATTGAAATATATATAAATAAAATATGTTTGTGAGTGTATAAGCAAAACACTGGAAAAAATAAACAGCAGGGTGCTCAGACCTAGCATCTCTTTGGCTGGCTTGCAGTATGTGGGACACGTTGTTGTGTTGTGCATTGCGGGCGATCAGGGCAGCAGCTTTAGCAGAGTAATCATTAGCAGTGATGCTCTTCAGGCCAGGAAGCTCCAGAGCAAAACGTACAGAACGCAGGCCTGATGCTGCCAGACCCTCCAGCACACGCAGACCTTGCTAAAGCAGAAAAGAGAGATAAATGACTTTACATTTATTTATTTGGCAGACAGTTTTAGCCATGATAATTCACAAATACGGGAAAAAACTTGACTTATGTCAGTCATAGGAGAATACTGAAAAAAAACAAGACAAGGTGAAAACACCAGTATTGTAAAATTATCTTACATATAAAATTAATTTTAATTATTTTTGACTAAATTAATTACATTTTAATTTTACATATATACACACACTCACACACATGAAGGGTTATTTAGTCTTACATATACATCCTAAGAACTCATTCACACACACACAATTTTTTAATAATAATAATAAAAAAAAATGTTAAGAAATTAAACTGAAAATATAAGTTGAAAAACTTAAACTTCAAAAACCTACATGAAAATTAGAAATGTTGCCATGGCCATTAAATGAAAGTTTAAGTACCACAATTACTAAAACTACAACTGAAATAAAAATAGTTAACATAAAAACAAACAAATTAATTAATTAAAAACAATCCAATAAAACAACAAAAACACATTACAAAATTACTAAATTAAAATGCAAGCGAAAATAAAGCTACTTCAAAATAGTATTAAAAAAAATGATTAAAACACAGTAATTGGCCCACACACAGACCTCACATCTTTCCCCTACAGATGCAGTGATGAACTCTTTCTTGTCACCCTCTTCTTCCATTTGCTGCTCATTTTCAGGCTGTTCTGATGTTTCCTGGTCCACCTTTCCATTCTTCTCCTCCGAGAGTTGAACCACAACTCGATCTTTCTCACCCGGGATCAAGATCCGGATGCCCCTCTGAGCCAGCTGCTCCCTAGCAAACTCTGTGATCACCGAACACCTGATCGAAGAAGGTAAATAGGAAGTTTAATTAAAAAGCAAACATTACAAGATGTCACAAGACTAGATGCTGTACTCACGTTAAATCTCGATTGAATTCCTGCACAGGGTTGTAGAACACCTCATTAGCACTTGGGAATAAAATGGCAGCCTTTCCCTCTCTCACAACTGTCTCCCCTGGTAAAAGCCCAGGTTCTGTAGATGAGGTCTGGCTGCTTTCTGTCGAGCTGGAAGGTTTGGTTTCTTCTATTGGTACTGCTGTGGTAGTACTGTCTGCACCTGCACTGGTCGTGTCCGGGGATTCTTCAGGTTCTTTCTTGCTGTCCATTGTCCTGAACTTTTTGAAGACACAATTGTGTCCTGTAGTGAGGATCTCTTCTTAGGAAATGCTAAAGATAAACCAGTACACCTTGAGGATACTAAAGTACAGTCCTAGCTAACATCTAACAAAAATAAACAAAAAAAGCCTTGTGACCGGTCAACAAAAAAAAATATTTTAGTTAATAAGAGCTTACAAATTCCTACATGATGTATCAATTGACAAAAAACTAAACAAAACAGATAAATACAAGGACTCTCACACCTTTTGACAGAAGAACTTTACAATGATTTTTGCAGTCATGTACAGATATATTAATTTCCAATCTTGAGACACAGACAAACAAAACTACAACATCAAAACGTCCTCGTGATTTTTTTAAATTTCCCATAAAAACCACATGAACTAATGTTACATTTAATAAAAATTGTATTTAATGAATGTTTTAAACTAAGTTTAATTTAATTTGCATGTTTATTTTCATACACATCAAAACATGGCCAGCTTCACATTCATAATGTAACTAGCCAGACTAGCATTAAAATGTATCTCGCTTTCCAACTTACCGTTGATTATCCTTCCTAAAAGATACATTAGTTATGCCATCATTCACGAACAAAAACAAACCACATCGTGAAATGTACACTAGCACAGAGACTTGTCAACTGTTCGCTTGAATGTTTCCAGGGCAAATTCACATGTGTATCTTATGCTGTGTGTGAACTACGGAAGCCTTGTAGTACTAAACGCCTGACAGAGACTCTAGGCACTGCGCATGCGCACAGCAACCTATAGAAAAGCGCTACACTGTAAAATAAGGGCACCGAGGACAAAAGTGGGTCATTTAGGAACTCTCTCTCTCTTTTTACAATAAAATAAGCCCATAGCACAAATCACAGAATGTTTCAGTAACTGTCCCCTTTTAAGTCGCTTTGGATAAATGCGTCTGCTAAATGCACAAGTGTGTCAGAATATCACAATACATTTTATTTTTAGTCTGTGCCTGTTTATGCTTTTGTAATATCGTATGAATGAATTAAAGAATAAATAAACACTACTTTCTCTAATTCTCTAATTTTAGTAACTGAATTATCATTATTATTATCAACAGTGTATACTGAAAAGTGTACACTGAAAAGTGGTTAATATAAATAAAATTAAAGTTTTTTGTTTGGAAGAGTTTGTAGTAAACCACAATATTATAACTTTTCTTTGATCTCTGATGCAATCTTAAACTTTGCAGTTGTCAAGAGCAGGGTTCTTCAACGGTTTTCAGGGTAAGGACCCCTTAGTGACAGAGATATGGAGCAAGGACCCCCGATATGTGTCAAGCAGAGCTACATATTAAGCATACAGCCTTAGATATTAATAGAAACTAAACATATTATGATTAAGAATAAATTATGTTATAAGGTATGTATTTTATGTAAAGACAGTAGATCAGAACTTTGCACATTATTATTGTCGCACATGTATCACTGCCTGTATATTTTTTGTTAAAATTGAGATTTATGCATCATAAAAAACATGTTGAGATAAAAATCACAATTCATTAGTTGTTTGCAGTTGTTGTATATTATTTTAATTGATTTGCAGAGTCATATATTTTACATTTACTAGTCAGATGTGCATTTACATTTACCTGAACTTCAGCTAGCCTATAAGTTTATTAAAAATTCACATTTGTGACACAAAACCAGTCATAAGGGTCAATTTTTTAAAATTGAGATTTATACACCATCTGAAAGCTGAATAAATAAGCTTTCCATTGATGGTGTGTTAGGATAGGACAATATTTGGCCGAGATACAACTATTTGAAAATCTGGAATCTGAGGGTGCAAAAAATCTAAATATTGAGAAAATCGCCTCCAAATTGTCCAAATTAAGTCCTTAGCAATGCATATTACTAATCAAAAACTACGTTTTTATATATTTACGGTAGGAAATGCACAAAATATCTTCTTGGAACATGATCTTTACTTAATATATTAATTATTTTTGGCATAAAAGAAAAATCCATAATTTTGACCCTTACAATGTATTTTTGGCTATTGCTACAAATATTCCCGAGCTACTTATGACTGGTTTTGTGGTCCAGGTTCACACTTTACTTTCACTGTCAGATGGACAAATAAATATTTACGCAAACTTTAGCTTCAAGCTTACTAAAACTGAACATTTCATTTTTACTGTGACTTGGAGCAGCGGCTCCGTGACAAGAATAGCAATGTACAGTTCAGAAATATTTAACTATTTTAAATATGAAATTTGAAATCGTATCTTTAAATTTCTATAATCATAGTATATTTTATATGTAATATTTAACAAAAATTATATAAATACATTATCTGCGTAAAGTATGCCTTCTGTGTGCAGCATTACTGTCGTGGCACAGCCTGTGTTGTTTCTGTAGCTACTAATAGCACATTCAATCTAATCTAATCTAATCTAGTCACGCTCGATCTCATTGCCTACGCGCCATATCATTTGACCCCATTAGAGCGACGTGATGGACATATTGTGGAGCTGTTTAGTGCACACTTCTCCAGTGCGACATGAGGAGTCGAGTTGGCATGCTGTGCGCGTAGCACCCAGAGTCCCAGACCCCTCTAGGGCTTCACCTGAGTCTAGACGCTCCGCGCAGCTCACTTTCCCCGCACTGCCGCACGCACAGACCAGACCCAACGGAGAGCGCGCTGCGCGAGTTGCACGCATCGGCGTTCAGACAGCTTTCTTTATTTTGGTCTGTGTGTGATCGGTGACTCTGTGCTCTAACCGGGGTGACAGAATGATGCACCCCTCGATAATTCTGCGCTCGGGCGTGTTGCCTGTGCATTCGCGATGAATGGCTGCCCGTAGAGAGAAAGCGTCTGACTCCTCCATTGAAACACTTACCAGCAGATCGCAAGTGAGGGGGTGAGTATTTTAACGCATGCACGAGAGGGTCAAGGGGCAACCACGTGGGTTGAACAAGGGGGTCGAATTTAGTTATTGTTGTGGCAGGGGGTAATTGAGAAAGATTTGAGGGGATTTTTTGGATAGGGGTATTGTTTTGTGAAGGTGTGCGATTGCTTTAGATGGGGGATGGGCTTGCGAAACTTTAACCACTTCAATGACTTGCTGCCGAGAGCTTGATTTGTATTGCATCAATGCGTCCGTCTATATTTTCCAACTTTTTAGCCATGCATACACATCGCTTGCAATGTTGGCACGTGTTTCTGGACTATTTGGGGATTTGTACTGGAGGAGGGCATTAATGTGCATTGCTTTCAGACGTCAAGTGGTTAATATGGTGTCTTGTCTCGCGGATCAGTCTGACTCGCCCCCCGGTTGCTGCAGTTGTCCCAAGATGACCTGTTGATGTCGGGAAAAGATGGAGCCGAGCCCCTTCCTCCTCCTCCTCCAAAATGGAGTAGAATTTAACCACAGAATATTTTATGTGAAACCCAATGATTGCGCCGCGTGCATACAAATTATGACTACTACTTAATTTGCATGCGATTTGCAAGGTTGCGGCGAGAGAGTGATAATAATAATAACGCATGTATATGGATGTTGCTGGGCGAATAAAAACGTTTTAGGTATAGATATCATGGTATGTGAAGGGCTGTAGCTCAGCCCGACATTGCATAGCATTGCACTGGCACCGAGGGGGCGAGGGAAACGGATGTGGGCTCCTCAATAATTCATCTATCAGACTATTTTGGTGACAGGATTTTTGAAGGCTGAGCAGCTTTTAGCTCTTTGGTCGCCCTATCAAGTGTGGAAACCAGGCAATTGGGGAATTATTTCTTAATTTAGTTTTTTGCCCCCTGGGGCCCGTGCCAGCCCGGAGCTCGTGTCCAGCTGGGCAGCGGTGCGGGGCACACACACTCGCCGGGTACCGCAGCCCTGCCGCGGCCGCCACATCACAGAAACACCGGCGCCCGACTCTCAACAGTGAGATCACAAACTACTGTTAATTTATTACCTTATTGTTTTTAATTAAACTGCTGTTATTATGCCATTGGGAAATATTGCTGTGCGAGTGATACAAAGAAAATAGTCTGGGTGAATTAAACGGCATTTCGCTGCATAGATCATGAAGCTGTAATTACATTAACGACAATCGAAAGTACAAGATTACTCTTAGACCAAGTTTTTAGTAATTTTACTATGTTTCTTAAAATTTGATTACTGTTAGCTAAGGAACTAGCTTTAACCCTTTAAATTAGGATGGTACAATCCGAAAATTAACTTTTTTCCAAAATGGCATATAGTTACTACAGTTTCTGCTGGTGCTTATAATAAATTAATATTTCTATTACATTTTCTTAGAACAGCATAAGAATATTTCCAACAGGTTAATTTTGTCTTGAAGTGGCGACTACATTATATATACATACATACATATATATATATATATATATATGTGTGTGTGTGTGTATCTATCTATCGTAAAATATTATTGTAGGCCTAAGGGTTAAAAGGAGTATGAACGGAAGCAGATGTTTTGTTACTGAACAAAACCTTACTGCTCAGCCAGACAAATCTTTGATCTGCTTCCTATAAGCATTGCTTTAACCTCCTGATCAACCTTTGTACAAAGACACAAAGCAAGAAGTTGGAGTGAAATGACTCAGTACACCTTTAGTGGGGATTTCTGATCATACTGTATTTCAGTAATTCAGTAGTTTTAAGAATTGTTAACAGATTTTGTAAGATACATTTATACTAGTGATAATGTGTTGAGCTGATCTATATTGCATTTTGCATGTAAAGATTTAGCAGACACTTTTGTCCAAAACAACTTACAAATAAGGAACACAATAAGCAATTTGTCGTAAGGCAAAATAACACGAGAAGTGCTAGCAATACAAAGTTTCGAACATCGTTCAGAAAAGCACAGGCTAGAAGCTAGAAAAAGGAGGGATAGAGGAATAGTGAAAGCATAGAAAGTGAAGCAGGATGCAGGTTAAGTGCTCTTTAGCAGACAGATTGACACAACACTGTATTTGTATAAAAGGAACTGCACTTTTGAGGTGTGAGTGTTGCTGGTCACACAGAGTACATACAAATATGATTTCATGCCTGATATATGACCCCTAGAAACAATTAGTAAATAAACTGCAGAACGTTATGTTTTCTAATACACGCACACATTGCATGTATTCTGACAGCGCTGTACGAGCTCGCGGCGGATGTGCTTGTTAACCAGGGTTCAAAGTCCAAAGCGCTGATACAGTCGTCAGTTGCTCTGTCACATTTTTATGAATTTTTACACGGCATGTGACAATGCGATACAGACGACGTATTCGTAATGAGGCTCATTTATAAATCTGTTGTCAACAAAAATAAGCATTGAGGTCTTCCTGCGCGTTTCCGCCAAAATAAAAGTTGAGAAAAAGCAAGAACTCTTATCAACATTCATAAATGTTAGTATTGTAATTTTACTGTTCTGTATAATAAAATAAATAGTAAGACAATAATAATGATAATAATCATTACAACAGCTCTGTTTTAATACATTTATTATAACATTCACACATAGTGTTCAAATTAGGATTTGTAATAATTTCAAATATTTTAAAATAAGTCTCGTCTCAGCAAGGCTGCTTTTAATTGTACAGTAAAAAAAAACGTATTAATTTAAAGTTCAATTGTGCTTTGTTGGTATAGTGTCTGCTTCCAAAATAAAAGTTGAGAAAAAGCAAGAACTCTTATCAACATTCATAAATGTTAGTATTGTAATTTTACTGTTCTGTATAATAAAATAAATAGTAAGACAATAATAATGATAATCATTACAACAGCTCTGTTTTAATACATTTATTATAACATTCACACATAGTGTTCAAATTAGGATTTGTAATAATTTCTAATATTTTAAAATAAGTCTCGTCTCAGCAAGGCTGCTTTTAATTGTACAGTAAAAAAAAACGTATTAATTTAAAGTTCAATTGTGCTTTGTTGGTATAGTGTCTGCTAGAATGTTAAAAGTGTTCAGTGTTAAATATTTTTAAATTGTTGTTTTGTAATTGATTTGTTTTTCTTTGAAAAGCAAGACAAAACAGTAAAAAGCACATTTTGGCTTTTTAATTTATGCAATGGTGAAAAAAATTGGCAAAATACATGGGGAAAAAACTCGAAAAACGGTATTCGGCCTTCAGCACAGTGTTTAATTTTGTTCGGTTTTTCGGCTTCGGCCAAGAATTTTCATTTCGGTGCATCCCTATTAGAAAGTACATGTTGACCTTAAGAGCAGAGAGTGTTTGTATGATTCTAAAAATAATAGACTGTAGGATTATAAATTGCATGTGACCCAGAGATAACCCCTGGATGGTCCTAGGCAAGAATGTGTATCAACATTTATTGCGTTTGTTCATTGTCTAATTTCCTGTGGAGAATGTATGCATTTTCTGTTTCTTTGTAATGGACTTGCCATCATGGGATGTTGTTTGTGAGACTGCATGTACTGACCTTGGAGTTAGAACAGAGACAACCACTGTGTCTCTATGGTTTTATAAGAATAGATGATGATATACTGCAAGTGTGCGTGCGTGTGCGTGTGCGTGTGTGTGTGTGTGTGGTGATTCCAGAAATCTTTATTTAAGAGTCACATTGTTAAAATTATTGTGCATAAGACAACTTTTTGTCACTACAGGAATGATTCTGCACAGTCATGCAAAAGTTTGTGTTCAGCAAGGATGAATTAAAGTGATCAATAGTGACTGTATTTATTTCAAATAAATGCTGGTCTTTTAAACTTTATATTCATAAAAATATCACCTTTTTTTTCTCCAAAAATATTAAGCAGCACAAATGTTTTCACCATGAAGAATTATCTTTTGAGCTGCAAATCATATTTGAATGATTTTGATGTGACACTGACAAGGCTGGAGTAATGGCGGCTGAAAATTCAGTTTTGCAACCACATGAATAAATTGCATTCTATTAAAATAGAAACGTTATTTTAAATGTAAACAATATTTCACAGTATTACTGCTTTTTATCTTTTTTTGATTCTTTTGAAAAAAGAACACTTTTTTCTTTTCTTTTTTTTTTACTTAAAAAAAAATATTAAATTATTTATAGTTATGTATGAATACACCATATCCATTGGTCAGCCTTTATGGAATCTGCACACTTTTTCACATTTTCCTCACTGTTGGGATTTTGGCAAAATTGATGGAATTCTGCAAAATAAACACTTGAGGCGTGGGACTGTGTGGAAATGTGAATGTCAAGTTGAATTTTGTAGAAAGCTGAAGATATTTCTGCAGCCTTTTGTAGGTGTGGATTCTCTACAGGCCCTGCCCATTGGTCATTATTATAAGAACTGTGGTAAAATAATTCGTTTTTTTTTCTTTTTTCACAGACTCTGTAGTGCTGGGCTTTACAATATGGCTCAGATGCTGCAGATGGCGATTCCCAACTTTGGCAACAATGTCTTGGAGTGTCTTAATGAGCAGAGACTTCAGGGACTGTACTGTGATGTGTCAGTGGTGGTGAAGGGTCACACATTTAAAGCCCACCGGGCAGTGCTGGCTGCCAGCAGCTCCTACTTTCGAGATTTGTTCAACTCTGGAAGTAAAAGCTTTGTTGTGGAGTTACCACCAGCAGTCCAGCCTCAGAGCTTCCAGCAGATCCTTTCCTTCTGTTACACCGGCCGACTTAGCATGAACTTGGGTGATCAGTTTCTCTTAATGTACACAGCAGGATTCCTACAGATTCAGCAGATTATGGAAAAAGGCACAGAGTTCTTCCTAAAGGTCAGCTCACCAAGTTGTGACTCGCAGGGCCTTCACACAGAAGAAACACCACCCTCAGAACCCCAGAGCCCTGTTACTCAAACTGGAAGTGGTACTGTAGGAGGGGGTGCAGTCTCCACGGCAACAGCTCGACCTGCTTCCTGCCTAACACCCCTTCCATTGGTGTCAAGAGTGAAGACAGAGCAGCAGCCCCAACAAGAAGCATCATCATATTCAGTGGTTTGCACTCCAGTTGCTAAGCGTCTTTGGGAGGGAGGTAGCCGTGAAGGAGGTGGAGGAGGGGGAGGTATGAGGAAAGCAGCCCGCTATTCGCATGAGGTGGCACGGAGCACAGGAGGGGCACCGCCTCAAAGTGGAGCCTTATTGGGTGGAAGTGGTACCACTAATAGCAACAACAATAACAACAACAGCAGTAGCACACCGGAAGGCACCAGTCCAGGCACACCCAGCATGTACACCAGTGATTCGCCGATCTCTTACCATGACGATGATGAAGAAGAGGAAATCACAGACGAAACCACAGAAGAACAGTACAGACAAATCTGTAATATGTACACTATGTATAGCATGTTGAATGTAGGGGCAACGGGTAAGAAAACTAAAATTTGCTTTCATTGATGGGTTGCTAATACTTATCAGTTAGATTTATTACCTGACACTAACACCATATTGTGATAAAAGACTACAGTGTGTAGTGAAATTCTGGGGAAAAAATTTTGGCCAAGTATTGAGCCCTGAGGAACTCCATCAATAGGAATTGTGAAAAGTAATAACCAGACATCAAAACAAAGAAAATACAGCATTTGCTCAATGTAGATCTTTTTAAACGTATTTTTTAAAGATATTTTTTGTTACTCAGAAGTCAAAATTACATATACTATAAACAATAGGTTAAACTTGCAATTTCTTTTCATCATTGCTCTTCCGTTTACTTTCCCCAAAGAATAAATTCAAAACAAAATATATATAAAAAGCACGTACAAGAAAACATATTTGCAAAAAAAAAAATAACTCGGAGGGAGATAAATTCATTTGACATGCATATTAAATATCTTTTTAGTTATTTATCTGCAGCTTTATGGGCTGTTTAGAGCTAATATATTGTTTTTTATTTTAAAATATCTCTTCCCCCATTGTAATCTTGGTTCAGCCAGCGAACGAGTGGAATCACTACCAGACCACCTCACAGTTGAATCAAGGGGAAGAGGAGTTCGAGTGAGGCAAGATCTGGCCTCTCTTCCCACTGAGCTCATTGCACAGATCGGAAACCGCTGTCATCCTAAACTCTATGAAGAAGGTGACCCTGCTGAGAAACTGGAGCTAGTAACAGGCACCAGTGTTTTTATTTCACGTGCTCAGCTGATGAACTGCCACGTTAGTGCAGGCACACGCCACAAAGTGTTGCTCAGGCGGCTCCTTGCTGCCTTTTTTGACCGGTGAGTGAAGTTTTTGACCTTTTATTCAGCAGGAAATAAAAAATTGTAATTAGTATTTATAGAAATTGTTCATACAAAAAAAAAAAAATTCTTAGTCACCCTTATGACTTGCTTTACTCAGAATGGAGATGTTTAGCCTAATGTCCAAGTTGCTTTTTCCCATACAGTGAAAGTTAATTGTCATACTGTTTGGAATGATATGAGAGAAAATGAAACATTTTCATTTTCTTTCAGAAAAAGAAATGTACATTTTTGGAGTGAAATAGCTCTTCAAAAAAAAAAAAAAACTTGTTAATGGGAACTTGACCAATTATTTAGTTTTGATGAAATAAGTTTTCTTGGTTTGGAATCCCAATTGCTCTTGCAATGTGCATGTCTCATTTTTGTGTTTCTTTTTAAAGTGTATCATCCTTTATTTTACCTGTAGAAGCACCCTTGCAAACAGCTGTGGGACAGGCATTCGGTCCTCCACAAATGACCCCAACCGCAAGCCACTCGACAGTCGGGTTCTCCATGCTGTTAAGTGTAAGTTGTGGTCAAAAAGTTTGATCTACATTGAGTTTTTAAGCATTATTCAAAATAGCTTTGTGTTAAAAGTGCATAATAAACTAATGATAGTAAAAGTTTTTCTTTTTGTTCTCTTTATTTCTAGTTTACTGCCAGAACTTTGCTCCTAGTTTCAAAGAGAGTGAAATGAACGCGATCGCTGCAGACATGTGCACTAATGCACGGCGTGTGGTACGCAAGAGCTGGATTCCGAAACTGAAGCTTCTGATGGCAGAAAGTGACGCATATGCCAACTTTCTTCCGGACGCTGCCAAAATGGAGTCTGATGGCCTGGCTGTGGAGCATGCTTTTGAAACAGGATCCCTAGAAGGTGGTACAGCCTCTGAATCTGGCCAGTCATCTACAGATGCACTGCAAGGTGTGAGCGGGGACGGTAACAGCTTGTTTTAGTGAGTAACACTACCGTGCTTCAGCTATTCTTTCCTCTTCCACTCCTCCATCTTATCCCAGTCTCACCTTGGGCGTTGATGTCATCTGGGAACAATGAAGTGTATCTTTATGAAGACTCTTGTTGAATCCCACTTCAGAAGCTGGTCATTTTTTATTTCCTTGTAGATTTGAAACAGGTTATTTCCTTGTAGATTTTTTTTTTTTGATTGTACCTTGAGGCCCTCCTTGTCATACTGCAGAAACACATTCCTGAAAAGGAGGGACCTCTGGGGCCATTTGTTGTGAGTTGAAGGGGAAATGGTGTCTGGAAGCTCTTATCCAGTCTGAAAACACTGTCATGATTCTGAATGTATCTTTTTGGAGAATCCAGAAGTTAATGTTGCTGGACATAAGATTGTATTCATCTGTTAATATTTAGTGGCTGTATATCTGCTTTCTGGACCCCATTTCCTCTTTTTGCACAAACACCTTTAACACAGACACCTTAAATTTTTTCTTCTTTTAAATGAATTTTTTTAAATATTCGAACAACATTTGTAAAAAAAAAAAAAGGCCAACTTTTCCACTTTTTGTCTTGCCAAGTATCCCAAGAGAGGCAGTGTATCATTTATGATTGTAATGAATTACTGTAGTAAGGGGCAGATTAATCTGTTTTGCTATATCTGAAACTACTGTTGTGTTTTGATAGAGAGAGTCTGTGCAAGAGCTGTGCACCTTTTGAATCAATGAATAGTGAATTGTTTTCCACGTTTTTGCATTAGCAAAATCCAAAATCTATTTTAAGCATTTTATTTTGGTATATTACCAAGGCTTAATATTGTTACTTTAGTTTAGTTTAATCCAATCGCCACAAGTTTTCACCATCAAATATCTCCAAAGGAAACCCTAAAACACTCCCACAAGCTTAAAAATCATTAAGGCCTTTTAAATGTGTCTTTATGTTCTAAGTAGTTTTGTATAGACAACACATAACGTAGGCGTCTGTGTGCTGTGTAAATGTGTGTGTATGGAGGCTGCAGATGGTAGTTTTTGAAGTGCCGTATCTCACAGATGACTGCTTCATGCACCGATCGCACAAGCGTGGTGCATGCTACGCCTCAGCGCCTCTGACAAGAGATGCACTAAACGCTCTGATGAGTGCAGTATTAGAGATTGGCACTGAACAGGCATCAGTGCCCCAGCTACGGTGTTTCCAAACCACTAAAGACCACTCTGAGAGTGGAAGCTGTATTGTAGTCTGTTTTTAATGTGGATTTGAAAAGTCAGTTTTCAAGTCTCTCTTGATGGTTTTCGGGTTTCAGAGAGAAATTCTTGAAGTCTGTAATGCCAATGAAGAGCTGTTGTAACCCAAGATTTAGAGATGAAAGAAAGTTACCATGTCATTTAAAGTGTAGTTGCACTCTTAAAATATTTAAGGATGTGTTAAAATTAGATTCCCAAAGTATGACCTGCATCTTCAGATGTTTTAAGCACACTTATGTCATGAAATGTGGACTAGATTGTTTGAATTAATGATTATGGTTGAAGAAAGGCTGTGATTTGGACAAGATCATCCCAATCCAAAAGCATGTTATTCGTGGGTTTTAAATGTTTACATTTTATTTTTCCATTTCTAACCTCTACATTTAAAATGATAGTTCACCCAAAAATGAAAATTGTCGTCATCTACTCACCCATCCATGCCATTCCAAATCTGTAAGACTTTCTTTATTTTGTGAAACACAAAAGAAGGTATTTTGAAGAATGTTGGTACCAAAACCAATTTGGTGACCATTGACTTCTATTGTATGGACTAAAAAAAAGGAAAAGATATTGCTCAAAATGCATAATACAATTTCAAAATTGTTATAATTCTAAAATCATAAAATAATCACTAAAAACAGTTTGTGGGTGAACCATTGATTTAAAACAAAAATTATAAACCCTTTTATTTAAAAAATTAATAAAAAAAAAAAGGTTTTTGTCAATACACTGCACTGGGCCAGGGGACAAAAGACTTATACCTCTAAGCCACGTGGTACGATCCTAAGAGACTGCACCAAGTCTTAATCAGAGTACGATAGGATGAGAATGAGATTTTTGCACAGAAATCTGAACTGGATTGTTCAGCACTGCCTTAAATAGTGGAAGTTCGTGCCCGGGAGTCTTACACAGCCAGTCTGCAACGGAGAAGTGAAAGAAATTGCAGGAAGGGGAGGGCATGGAATGCCTGGATGATCCTGTATGCATGCATGCATGCTTGCTGGTGTGCTCCGCTACTTTTCCTCAGAGTTTGAGCCTCTTAGTTTCATTTCCATTTTTAGAGACACACGTGCTAATGCCTGTGCATTCATGTGAGGAGGCTGACAGGAAAGCGAGAGTGTGTGCCAGAGGCATGCTTTTTATGTGTGCATTTGTTTGTGTGTACGTGTTCAAATTTAAGTCTTTTTTTGTGCCAAATGCACATCTGAGAGAGGGTGCGTGGGTGGTGTTGGTGGATGACTCTGGAATATGTGCATTGTGTGTGTGTTGGTTGGTTGGTGGGTGATTGGTATGTGCGTATGCAGAGATCAGAGAGCTCTGTTTGTTTTTGTCTGACAGAGAGGGAGACATACAGTGCAGACGCAAGCAGAGAGGGGAGGGAATGTATTGGTGAGGAGATGGATGCTCTCTCACACACACACACACTTAAACACACAACTGGTGCAGTGAGCCATTTCCCAAATGGAGGCATCAAACGGTACGCTTTGACTAAACAAACCATCAGCTCACATTGAATCTCATCTGATTTGCCTTCTTTGGATTTGCTTCTTCATTGAAGAGTTAACATGAAGTCAAAATTGATCCTATTTTCTGTCTTATTACACATTTCTTGGGGTTTATAGTAGTGGTGGGCGATATGACCAAAATCTTATATCACGATACGAGTAATTTTATTTCATGTTAATGATATACATCAAGATACTTTGCTTTAAATAAGGTGTTTATGATATCAACATTTTTGATACCATAGAAATTACATAATTTTTGTCACCAGTGTCAGTATCACAAAAAATTAATACTAGCCTAAATAATAATAATAATAATAAAAAAATTATATGTATATCTCTACTTATTAAAGTTGCAAACGTGATATAGTCAAGAGCAGTAGGAGATTTTCTGTCTTTTGTTGTTTGATTAACATGAATGGCAGACACCAGGAATATTAGACTGCTGTCACTTTAAGAGCTGCCCGGATCCAATATATTGTTACACGTGTTTTCGGTGACACTTTCTATGAAGTCCATATTTATAATACATTATAAGGGTATTCTTAAGGCATTATAATGAATGCATAATGCATTATAAAAAAAAAACTTGTAATCTGTTATATCATATAAATAATCATAACAACAATTATAATACATTATAAGGGTATTCTTAAGGCATTATAATGAATGCATAATGCATTATAAAAAAAAAAACTTGTAATCTGTTATCATCTTATAAATAATCATAACAACAATTATAATACATTATAATGCTTACGTATTTGTGGTTATAACTTTTAAGATTATGATTATTTATAACACACAATGAACACCATAATAAATCTACTTTTACATTTATAATGGACTATATATCTTGACATTGTTTATTTAAGATCTGCACAGTATCTTACATCTTGTAAGTGGTTAGGTGTGGAGTGTTATTTGAGTGTTCCCTATGAGGCTAATATTAATTTTGATGTGAGCTAGTTATTTTTGATGGTCCCCTTAGTCTATTGACTATAAGAAACTTTGCAACTACATATCAACTAACTCTAATTAGAGTATTAGTAGGCTTAGGTTAAGGTTAGGGTATGTAGAATGTTGACATACTTAATATAAGTATACTTAATATATTTTACATACATGCAAAGTTACTTATAGTCAGTTTGTTTGTTGGGGAACCATCAAAATAAATTGTTAGCATATATTTAGCAGACATACTACTAATACTCCAATGACTGCTAGTTGACTTGTAGTTGCAGAGTTACTTATCAACAGCTGTTTAAACGGTACCATCAAAATAATCAAACTGATATTACAATAAAAATAGGTCAAAGCAAATGTGTCATATTACACATTCATCTGATCTGATATCTGATCTTATGGCTGTTTGAGGAAAAAAAAAATTATTATTATTATTATACTTATAAGTGGTCTTTGATTGCTTTAAGTAAAGTAGCATAAGAAAGATGGCAAGATGTGAGACTTATAATACATTATAACTATGAGAAATATAATCCATTGCAACTTAAGTGGATGCAACATGTTCACTGCGTTATAAATCATCATACTCTTAAAAGCTATAACCACAAATAAGTAAATATAAAACATTAAAACTGTTCTTATGAATATTCATAAGATGATGAAGCATATTATAAGGTTTTTTATAATGCATTATGCATTCATTATAATGCCTTTAAGAATACCCTTATAATGTATTATAAATATGGGCTTCATAGAAAGTGCTACTGTGTTTTCTTTCTCAGCTGTTTGCTTTCACTTAAATTACTGTTTACGAGGATACTTGCATAGATGGGCATTTTGATGGGCACATAGAAGTGTGTGTATTAAACCGTTCAAGGCCTATACAGTGGCAAAAATAACTCCGTTCAATACTCGCTCGCTCTATGAGCAGTGTCTTCACGTGCGTGTGCCTTTCTGACAGCGCTCAAAAACAGTGCGCGCATAATATAGCGAAATGACTTCACTTTCGCTGCTGATGGCATTTAAATGGCTTAAAATCACTTGTTTTTAAACTGCAATGCTTAAAAACGTGTGCAAACGATATGTTTTCATGACCACATAGCACTGTAATTTCCCGTGAGCATGTAACCGCGATAGAGACGATAGTTGAAAATCTCTACCAATTGACAAAATTCTACCGGTTAATCGTGTCTAACGGTATATCGCCCACCCTCAGTTTGTGTATAAAACTTTAGTTTCAATGCCCTACATTTTTGTTTCTCACTAAATATTCAAAACATTGTGTAATTATATTCTGACATTAATATCTCATATTCATTGTGTAATTATATTCAACATATTCTAAAACATTGTGCAATTAAAATGTATTACGAATGTCATTTTATATTGTCTTTAAGGCCATATTTGGGTTACTTGTTAAATGTAAAGTGAACACTGCAACATGTGAACACAATTATACTAGTGTGTTGGGGTGTGTGTGTGTGTGTGTGTGTGTTTAGCATCCTATTGTCCAAAAAACGGATAAATGTGATTGATGGTGACTGCATAAATATGGCTTTGTGGTGGACTGTTCCTCATTGCACCTTTTGAAACGCAATGAAAGAGAAAAAGAAAGATAACAGCGGTCAACATTTCTTCATCCCTGTTAGAATGTACATGGAGCTGATCCTCTGATGTACAGCTTGATAAGGGAGGGACCAGGAGGTTTTTTTTAGGAAGCATGCATGTTCATGAGGGCTGGATTTGTGATGTTTTCAACCCATGAATCACTTCTTAATATGTTCTGCTCAGTGGTGCATTGGCGAGATTGGGGACACAATGTGCGCTGAACTCGATGAACTTTAGTGGATTTACCCCGTGTAGAATCTCAACCCCTGACCCTCAACCCTCTTTCATGCAAAATCCTTTCATTTAGCAATTAAACTTCCAGTATTATTAGTATGTTATACTAATGAATCATCTACGTCAAATAGGGCTGGGCGGTATATCGAGTTTGTACAATATATCGATATTTTCTTTATAAGCGATTTGATATGAGGCAATACCGTTTATATGGATATACAGTAGTTTGATACGAGCGCATCTGAAAATATAGCGGAGGACACAGACTGAGCTGCTGCGGAGAACGTGCATAATCCAATTTGTTCTAAGCATGGGACAAGCTTCATATTAAGACCTTTAAAAACTGGTAAGACATGGTATAGTTTATAGTTTCGCATAGTTTAAGCGGCTCGGCCCGTCAGATGCTCTGACAGAAAGGCTGCATGTGCCGCTGACATAGGCTACTCGCGCTGTTTACTGTGTTTGAGATGTACTGTCTTCCTGAATGCATAACTTACATTTCACAGGTATATTCTCCATTTGTAAATGTTATAAAGTCATGGAAATATTTCCATTTTGCTGTCAGGAGTGCATGAGCCTTCTGCTTTGGGATTCTCCGCTAAACTTCACAGACTTCAGTGAATGAGCGGCGCCGCACGCATGCGCGTCAAACAGACAGCTCAATTAATAAATAGAAGTGCAATAATTCTGACTAAAATATACATTTAGCTGAAATATTTGTTGTTGTACAATAAATGTGACATGTAGAATTTTAAACCTACAAGTAGCCTAAAAGTCTATTTTTGTGATAGCACTGACTGTAAAGTGACTGTAATGGGGTAATCAAAGTAGCCTAACACAACTCTGTGCTTTTGTTCTCATTTTTAGTTTAGTGAATTCAACTTCCACTTTAAAAGCCTTATTTTTTTTAGATTGCAATGTTTTCATAGCCTTTAATATGTATTGTTTTGTTGGAGAACATTGGGAAGTAAGTGAAATATATATATATATATATATATATATATATATATATATATGTATGTATATGCAAAAGCCTCTTAAGTGCCATCTGAAATTTTCATCTAAACTGAGCATTTTTATGCCTATGTTTAGGTTCAGTGATTTTACTCTAATGGCAATGTGTAGGTCCTTTTCTATGCAATTAAAGTGAAATAACTGAACCTAAACATAGGAGCCTGATAAAAATGCTTATTTTAGCAGATTTTTTTATAAATACAAATACAAAAATGAAAATACAGAGATCGGCCAAAAAATACAGAGATATGAATTTTTGCCCATATCGCCCAGCCCTAACGTCAAACAGAACAAATGAGGTTATGCTTCGGACGCTTTGAGACATAAACTGAAAACTTAAAAAAAAAAAAAATAATAAAAAAAAAAAGAGGAATAAAATGCATGACAAACCATACCTTTGTTCTTATTACCTATGATTTTTTGTTCAAATCTAGAATAGTGCTTGGCCATTGAGATGCTACTAATTTTTAACATAGACTGTAGAGTTGCCAAGTGCTTTGTAAAGGAACATCATGCAATTTACAGTAGCTAGGAGCAAGAGAAGCGCTATACATTTTTGCTTTGCATATGAGGGCCTTAAGAGGGTATGCACTGTATTAAAATGACATTTTTAAAGGGTGGATGAGGTTGAAGCAGCATAGAAGTAGGGAGTTGCGGTCTATGTGCACTGCAAGCTATATTATTACTTCTTTCTGTCTTAAAGAAGTATAATTTTTGTTACTGAATTAGTTTACTGGTGCAGATGACTTTTGATGTTGAATGGCACATGGTGCCACCTGGTGTCGGAGTTGATAAATGCTGCAGGTAGAGAAGGAAACTGCCATGCAGTTACTTCTCTTGACCATTAAGGGACAGCAAAGATTTAGAAAACTCTTGTAATTTGACATGATCTTTAATTTAATAATCCCTTGCCAACGGTGTTTAAATTGTGTTTGAACTGCCAAATATAAGGAAATGTTATTGCATTTATTCAGAACTAGAGTAAATTGTCTCTGCTGATGTTTACCAATGTGACGATCAAAACATTTGATACTTAATATGACACTTTATTAACAAACAACCAAAATAGGGATTTGTGAATAGCTATCAGGATTTCTATCTAATAGCTATCAGGGGTGCTTGGCCTGAAAATAAGTTGAAGACCCCTGTCTTAGCACCTTGAGCTCCCTCACTCTTTCGATTGAGCACCGGGGACTATTGTATCTATTTTTATAATTTTTTTCATGTTAGATATCTTTAATTCTGAGTCTTAGGACTGGTTCACACAGGGCACAGTTAAATGAAAAAAAAACAGCCCTATGTAAACATGCACTAGGCAGATGTCTTTGAGCACTGTGATGCATCTTGCTTTTTCAGCATCTTGTGCATCCAAGAACAAAACAAACAAAAAGAAGTCGTTTGACAGTTAAGGCAAGTTCAACTTTTAAGGCAAGACACCACTAGTGAATAAGGTATAAATTTAAATCATAAATTGCACCATTCTTCACCGGTTCATTGTTTTGTGGAATATTATTGTTATCATAAGAGGCATTATGTAATTAAATATGCACTAATTTCCAGGTTCAACATTTGTTAGATTTTTGTTGACATTTTAAAGAAACTGGCCTTCAATATATGTATTGGAATTTAAATTAGATGCGGATAGTTCTACTAGTTTGAGCGTTTTACCTTAAAAAGCACATTTCGATGCTCTGTTCTGTTTCATTTCTCAGCACTAAATTTTTATGTGCAAGAACGTGTTCTTTGTGAACAACTTATGCTAGAAATATCCAAGCTCACTCCACCTCACAGTTCTAGGGAGACAGAAGAGGCGCAAACACAGGAAAAACAATGACAGATGCAATCAAAAAGCCTCGGATGAAGACGTATACCTCTCCTAAACTGATATCTTGTACATTTTATCCTTTTAATAAGATGTCTATCAGCCTGTTAATCTTATTTCATCTTTCCAGCGTTCTCTCCTCCAGTATAAACACACTCCTCTCTCTCTGCTGCGGCACGCCGCTCCATGTACTTCACCTTTCTGTGCGCTTCTGCGCTGCCGGAAACCTCAAAGACTTCTTACAGATTTCAAAACATATATTGCTCTTTGTACATCCCTGCCCACCAGAGACCAATGCATGTGCGTACACACAAGCAGGTGTGTGGATCTACCTCCTGACACCTTCAGCCATACCTCCCTGGCCCCTGTGCCCTGATACAGGTCATGTGATGCAGGAGACTCCTCGAGGTGCTGCCCTTCAGATTTGTTTGAACATGGTGTTATGGGAAATAGATGTAAATGGAGGCAACTTTGAATATGGAATGTTGTAGATTCATACCTCACCAGGGGCCGGGGAGCTCCATCAGCATGGCTCCTGAGAGAATATCTCTGGTGTGGCCGCAGGGATCCTGCAGCTATTTTTTTTTTCCAGTATAGATATATGAATATACATATATAAATACAAATCTATATATATACTGTACATTATACATAGAAACACTAATGAAGTTTGATTGTTAGTTGTGCACTCACAGCATGAGATGTTATTCCCCAGAAACAAATGCAGTAGCGTCTACTGATGTCAAAACCCCTCTGTACCCTCCACCCCACCCCGAGTACATGCCAGTGTTTCCTCTGTGTTCCAAGTGCCAATAACGTTGTGAATTCCTTTACTGTGACCCAACGAGAAAGAAAATTGCACATTAACTACTGTAAAAAAAAAAATTTAATAAAAGAAACATGAAGAAATTATGAAAATACATCTTAATAAAAAGCTTTGTAACAGAAAATCATTGTGGTTCGCTTTTGTTTTAAAAGAATTAAACACCCCAAAATTGGCTGAAAAACACTCAGGACACTAAAGATTTCCAGATTTGGAGAAATAAAATTTCATTGCTTGCTCATCAATGCAGTGAATGGGTGCTGTCAGACTGAGCAACTGATAAAAACATGAAAATAATCCACAGCTTTTCACTTGACACGACATTAATTGATGGACTGGAGTCGAGTAAATGTTTTTATCAGCTGTTTGGATTCTGACGGCACCCATTCACTGCAGAGGATCCACTGGTGAGCAAGTGATGTAATGCTACATTTCTCCAAATCAGTTTCAAAGAAGAAACAAACTCATCTACATCTTGGCTGGGCTGAGAGTGAGTACCTTTACAGCACATTTTCATTTTAAACTATTCCATTAATGTGTGATTCAGTCATTTTAACACAGCTTTACGGATTGCATTTTATATTTCATGATATTTCTCTCTACTGTGAAAAAATTGTCACAGAAGTATTTTTAACCCGAGAGCTGCCATGAAGTTATTCCATATGTTGCATATAATTTGAAAATAACGTGATAAATGAAAACTGAAACCACATGTCAAAGGCATATACTTTAATCAGGAACCACTTCGATTTATCAAGATGCCAAAAAGGCAAAAGTTTTATATAATACAAATGCTTACAAAAACAAGTGACAAGGGCATTAGATTTCTGAAACAATCATTTATGTAGGCAGTACTGAAAGACATTACTTTGCAAGTAAAAGAAAATCAAATACGTACCAAGTTTCCCTAAATGGGCATATAAGAGGTATTACGTTTTAGTACTTTGTTCCACATTTTGAGCAACAGTGAGTATTGGCATTTTTTAAGGCTTGCATTTTTCAAAAATCTTATGCTTGGCGTTGAATCTGGCTTTCAGCTATTTAGGGGTTTATTTATATCATATTACAAAATTAAAATAGACAAAGCAATACTGAAATGTCATATTCAGTTGAAGCTTGAAAGAGGGACACATTTATATTGAACATAATACATTCACCCACAGGCACGTAGTGTTACACCCAGATCAGAGGGCACACTGGAAGCAACTCATTGGCACGGAGGATTTGAGTACAAAATGTTCATTAGCACACCCACAGATGAGCACAATATTAGATCTGGGCTCAAGTTCAGGAAAAACTTGACAAATTTTGGGACTTTTATAAGGAAACAGCCAAGCGAACAAAACTACATAAATGTTGTAATAGATAAATGAAATGTGCACTGATTTTATTTTATTGAAAAAAAATTTCCAATTATTTATATTCACGATTTCTAGTATTTGTACAGGCTTTACATTTTATTTCAATGTTGTAATTAGCAATTCATTAAATGTTATCTTTGAAACAGATTTGTTATGCGACAGCATTAATTAAAGTTCCTTAAGGGTCAAGATCATGTTATCTGCATCTCCTGCGCTCCACCAAGCCACTCCCATAATATCTGTCATCACTCAAATTAATGCACGACTCTACATTATCTGTATAGCATGCGCGTAAGGCTCCAATACAATTATAAAGTAATTATTTTATCACAAATATATCTTTCAATGAGTAAAACTGGCTGTGTCTATAGTATTATAGACTACACAACATTATATTATTTTCAGATATGATTATTTTTAATTATTATCCCTGGATCAGTAGGGTACTCTTGTAATAAAGTAGCAGTGGCTGGGACAGATTTTAGGTATCAATTCCACTTAAAAAGATGCGATCTAATCCTGTTTACATTAAATAAGCCTGATCCCAAATCCTCAACAATCAAATCCAGCTGAGTTAGCGACGTACGAAGAACAGGCCCCTGGTGTTTACAAAATAATACAAAACTGTTCATTCTTTAATATCATGTGTTTTTTTTGCTTACACTGCCTGTTCATCCAGCTCGTCTCCTATCCTGCTGGACATGTCCTTCAGCACACGGATGCTGCCTGTGACCAGTTCCAACTGCTCATCCTGGTCCTGCATGATCAGCTGCATGCAAAAAACATGACATAAAATAAAGAAGACATTAAGATTCAAAACTGTGGTATTAAGCATGTGAACTGCTTTGCACAAAAAGTCACACTTCTTTGTTTTCTGTAAAGCTTATAAAATGGAATATTGGCAAATAATGCTGGATACAGGGATTAAAGTTCCGTCGCTACTACGGATTTCTGTCAGTTCATAAAGACATAAAATGATTCAGCCGTTCGAACTAATCAATTGAATGAATGATTCAGTGATAAAATCAGTGACTTGCCGCCACCTGCTGGCAGATTTAGTTTCATTTTTAGCATATAATTTCAGTTTCTGACTTATTTAAATGTTTTGACCTCCTGTCTTTTACCTGCTGCTGTTCCTGTTGCTCCTGAATGTATCTGGAGTTTGCAGACACCAGGTGAGGCTCCAGACCGGCATAACGATCCTTTGCCGTGGCCCCCAGCAGAGCCTGTCAGACAGGGACACAGTGCTGTCACTAGCACACGTGACCATATGGATTCATACATTTCAGTTTAATAGTGAATAAATCACTCGCCTGTTTGTTTTTCTTCTCTGCTTGAGCCACAGCTGAGGGACTAGAGAGCTGCTCCTTCATCAGCTACATACAGATACATATTCATGCATATGAAAATACTGGAACTCCAACATAAAATGAAAAAAAATAATAGAAACTGGGACAAGGATCGATACCTGCACGGATTTACGAGTTCGTTCCACAAATTCCTGCCTTTCCAGGAGTTCAGGTTCTCCTAAACGGAACTTTCCAGGGTTTGCCTCCACAATACCTGATACAGTCAAGGACTATAAAGAGATCAGCATATACATTATCAATCAAAAGTTTTAGGTTGGTAAGATTTTTTTTTTTTGTTGAAATAATAGAGCAAAGGTGACAGTAAAGGCGGCATTTATAATGTGACAAAAGTTTCTATTTCAAATCAATGCTGTTCTTTTGAACTTATCTATTCAAAGTATCCTGAAAAAAAACAATCCACAAAAAATATTTAGCAGCACAACTGTTCTCAACATTCATAATAAGAAGAAATGCTTCCTAAGCATTAAATCAGCACATTAGAACGATTTTTGAAGGAACATGTGACACTGAAGATCTAATGGCTGCTAAAAAACAGCTTTATCAAACTAAATAGGAAAATATAATCAAATAGAAAACTATTATTTTAACATGTAATGACATTTCACAATATTACTGTTTTTATTGTATTTTTACCCAGCAGCCTTGGTGAGCATAAAAGACTTCTTTCAAAGACAATAATAATAATAATTTAAAAAAACATACCAACTCAAAACTTTTGACGCTAGTTTACATCCTTTTTCAAAATTTGTATTTTCCTTTATTTAGACCGCACATTCTTTTGGCACCTCCATCTCCCTTTTGCTTTTACGTACCTATAAGTTTTTGTGAAAAATTCTACTAAGGATGTTTGAAGGCATCATAGGCCTTTGGTTTATGGCAGGATACTGATGGTTTCATGCAGGTCCTCTAGGTCCCAGTCGATGGCCCTCAGGCAGTTTCGGAGTTCATTGGTGCTCCAGTCCAGCTCATCGCGGCTGACGGGGGCCTCCTCTTGCAGCAGTTCCTCCCAGCGCTCGAACAGCCCCTGTGCTTTGGACAGGGCCTTCTGCACCTCCCTGTCAAAAACATGAGTAAACTGTGAAACCCCTTCTACCTGATGGGAATGAAAGTTGTTTACCTATATTAAACAACCTCTACACAAGCACTGGTTGGTTACTGTCATGATGGGGTGAGGTCTCAATTTATCAAACATGTTTTAATATAACGAACACATTTGATTTATGTGTGGTTTCTAACTGTACATTAAATGAATGGCAGAGACACATTTAAAACACATGCAACATAAACCAGTGTGTGTTTACACTCCTGTCAACACAAGTGACTTAATTTAACCTTCCAAACTTCTAAAACGTAACTAGAAACACAGCCATACTTCTGCTTATTATTACACTAAGGCTGTTTATTAGTAAAGTCGCATGGAAACACAAATAATGTGACATTAACTGGGGCTACAGATGCTGAAGATGCTTCGCTTACCTTTAACTTAGCCTGTCAATATCAAACCCATGTTGTTTAGACAAAGATGGAAGACAGACATTAAGACAGGGAAGAGGAAGATAACTTTTCTTACCCTTTAACCACGAAAAAAGGATCCTCCATCGACATATTAGCCCCTTTGGTTCAGGAGCTATGTGAAGTCAACGGCAAGATGGCTTGTGTAAAACACGCACGCACGTACATGTTTTCAAAATAAAAGCAGCTCTGGTTCCAACGTATAGGACAGTTGTATCATTGACAGTTGAGACATGAAACAAACATGTTCTACAACTATACCAGATACTTATATATATATATATATATTTATATATTAATGCATTTATTGTTAACATTTTTACTTTGAAAGTATGTACTATGTAAGTAACTTTGAATGCTCTTATAAGTAGCTGAGGAGGTAAATATTAAAGGGGGCATATGATGCGATTTCAAGTTTTCCTTTCTCTTTGGAGTGTTACAAAAACACTCAAATCTTTGTTACAGCAAAGATTAAAGTCTCAAACCCAAAGAGATATTCTTTTTAAAAGTTAAGACTCGTCGACGCCCTCCTAAAAACGCCTCGTTTAAACACGGCCCCACATGTCTACGTCACTGTGTGGGAAGATTTGCATAACGCCGCCCAAATGTTCATGCAAAGAAGGAAGGTGTAACTTTTATTCTTGCTGTAGTATTGTTGCCGCCGCCGCCATGTCGTGGAGACACTGTGTGTTTCGTTGTGAAAGCGAAACTACTTTGTTTGGTCTTCCAAAAGAGGACACAACTAGAAATCAGTGGTTAAGTTGTATTTACAGAGAAGCAGCCAGAGACTCACCGCTCCTTCAAAAAAATCCAACTGAAGTGCGTAGACCAAAAAAGGTTACCCAAAGATGAAGAGCTTGAAAAGAGTCCGCACAATCAAACATTAAAGCATCACAAGCGAGATCTCGCTTGTGATGCTTTAATGTTTGATTGTGCGGACTCTTTTCATGCTCTTCTAAGTTGTATTTACAACACTGTTCCAGAACAGTTCAAACCAAATATTCAGATGTGTGCAGCGCATTTTATGGAGGACTGTTTCCTGATCCTGGAAGAGTAGACTACAATGCCGGCTGTTCTGACTCACAGACTGTAAGTACGTTTATATTTAAAGGATTTGCCACTGATGATTCAAACGCGAGTTTTGAGCAGTGTAGAGTAGCGCTTGTTGTTTGTCATTTCTCCGATCACAAATGCAGACATGGTTTTATGTTTACGTGGCGCGATATGCAATGCAACACATAAAAAGACAGTATAAGTCATTATAATCAGTAATTATGTCCCCACTGGATGCAACAAATGCCTCGTTTATAATGGGTTTTATTGTTTTTGTCTCGTCGGTATACACCAAATACACAAAATAATGTTCTTTTTTAGCAACGTCATATGACTTTAAAATATGTAAGCGCACTTTTTGAGGTGTTCTTGTTACAGTGTTATTACACAAATATGTCATGAATAATATTAGTTAGCAACTTGTACTTACTGTTAGGTTAATGTTAGGGTTCAGTTTATGCTTGTAATTATGCATAATGATGGATAATGAAATGAATAATTGTTGCTATAGTAGCCTAAGTAAATGTAAAATGTAATAAAGACACCATAACATAAAGTGTTAGTAAAATGGTCTTTTTAAACAACCCAGTTGCCTTATTATTAGTGATTTGTTAAATAAACATTTCTGCATTTAATTGCATTCATAGTCAGTAATTCACCAGCACATAATTATGTGATATATTTTGTGAGCTATTATACTAAAGCAGACACTGAGTGTGAAGCTCTGTGACTGAGCAAAAAGGCAGTATATACATTTTCTATTGCATGTATGTTGAATTTTCGTATTTGTATTCAAACTATGGGCTTTATGTCAAACGGTCCCATTGCTATTGTTACAGAAAATATTTATCTCTAAACCTTAAAAGCATAATCACCTTAATGCACGCATGAGCACCAACACACATTTCTTGACTTGTACATAAAGTGAATGCAATCATTTTGAGTACCTTAGTCCAAACTAACAATAACAATGTGTAAATAATCATCTCTAATTTTGTCTTTAATTGCTTTGTTGAGAAGACAAAATGGTTCATATTTGGATCAGTTTCATGATGCATTACCTAAGTCTCTGGATAAGTAGAAATGTCATATTTTTAGCATTGTTTGTCACACATTTCCATAAAAGGGCTGTTAGCACACCTTTGCCGCAGTCCTGACCTGATTCATAATTAATTCGGTTAGGTAACTGGCCTAGATTTGCTTGGCGCTCAAGGCATTAAACATGCCAAGCTAAAGACAAGCTGGTGTGCGACATGTAGTTTTGCGACAGGTGTGTTAAACCGTTTAAAGGATTCCCATGTGTCTTTTCATGCCAGCTACAGGCTTAAATCCCTGTCGCCTAGTCGCCTCTCCTTCCTTTACTTTAAGTATCACTATTCTCCTTCACTTCCTCCCCCACCTCACACAGTAACCGCTTCCTTCCCGTCTCCTGCCTTCCTCCCTCACCACACTCTCTGCTTCCTGTTCACACACAGATATTCACACACTCTCCACCTCCAGTTAAAAGGCTGGCTGTAGTTGTCAAGGCCACATTTTTGTCCTCACAAACGAAAAGTGATTTGAGAGGACATCTGAAATGGGGCTGACTATTTGAAAGAATCATAAATAGGTTGAAAACATGTTTTGCATTAAATATAATAATGTCAACAGGTTTATTTGAGGGTTAGGGTTTAGCAAATAGCATTACGTGCGAATGAAAACCACTGGGTCTGTGAGGTGTCCTCTTTAATATAGTGAAACCAATGTGTGCTTGTGATCACAGCTGCAAAGAATGCTTATGGAAATGAAAGGTGGATCTAATTGGAGGCCTGATCCCATGGAATGCAGTTTGTCAGAGAACGCTAATCAGTAGGGAGCTATTTTTACAAGCAGTGGCTTTAAGGTCGGCCTGATGAGTCACTCGGTTTACAAAACATATTTGTAGGCAAATGTAATGCCCAAGTGTTTTAATAAAATCATCCCTTTCTCTCTATAAACACACATTCACAAACAAGACTATGACCCTGAGCAAAAATCTAAATAATCAGAATGAGATTAATTTCCAAGTATGCTTAAACAAGGAACATAAGGAATGTGCGTTAATATACAGGCTACAGCTACACAAATAGCATAGGCCTGTGTAGGCTACACAATAAACAAGACAGACAAAATAATAATATTGTGTTTTTGCTTCACGTTCATAACCTAAAATGCAATTCTCAGTGCAAAAAGCCCTGGTGCACATGAACAACATTTCTGAATTTGGACATAGCCAGGTAGCCCTTTCTATAAAAAGAAGGTGTATTTGCTGTGAGTGACAGCTGCCATCTGACCTCAATCGCTTTGCTTCCTAGTTACGTTCATGTGTGCAGAAGGGGAGGGGTTGTTGGGCCGGTGACAAGTCCATATATGGTGTGCGGTGACATCACTGCCTCCGCTGAGGCCGCGGGAAGAAGCGCAGCGGAGGGCACGTCACGGCTTTTCCTCTGCGCGCTCCGCGGAGAACCGACGGATGTCCCAAATATGGTGATATATACAACGTGACGTCGAGCAAACAGAAAAAAAGCGTCTAGCGCTTCCAAAGAACTGTAAACACAGGAGGCAGGCATATCGATCAACTTTTCAACAGAAATGTTTTTCAAGTTGAGTTTGCTGGGTACGTTCGATGAAAAGATAGCACAGTAAAACGTGAATAAAAAACAACACAGCTAATCTGTGAAATGATGCAGTTGGTTATTATTTCCCACACACTCTATGCCTCACTCAATGAATATTTTATGCATTTCGTTCACATGTCATTAGTGTAATTACATGAGCTCAAGAAACAGATCATGTGATGTCGTGAAGCAGAGTTTTACTACTGCCAGACATTTGATACAGTGCCGTTCTAACATTCTAACATTCTAACAAAGCCTGTGATGTCTGTCGCGACGCTTTCGTAGAGCACTGCCATTTACGGCCAGAGTTGCCAGATTTCGTTAAAAAGCTGCGGTTTTTTTTTTTTACAAAACAAACTAAAATAAGCATCTCTTTAATAAGCTCTTTATTGTGCGTTTGCTTTCAATGATTATTACGAATAAGATGAAAAATGCTTTTGTTTAATTAACCCTACTTATTCATGAATGCAAGTTTACTAATAAAAGTGCCTAACTTTATGGTTTTGTTGACTGAAACAAGGCTATACAGAAAATATTAGAGACTCTTTAAATAAGAAAGCAATAAACACTTTAAAATACAATTTATTTGTTTTGAAATTATGTTTTAAGTTATTGTGTCTGTACCCAATGGAACCCTTATTCTTATTTTATATTTCTACCCCCTGACATTTATTTATTTGGTTAGTTAGTTATGTTTTATTGTTGCTCTTTTCATTTGAATGAAAGTGCATGTACACTAGTGTACAATAAAAATGAAACCTCATTAGTATTTTTATTAACTTAATTGTATGTATGTCTGCACTATGTATTCTACTGGAAGCTCTTAACTGAAACTGTAACAACGCTGAAAGAGAAAATAAAATACAACATTAAATTTGTATATATATATATATATATATATATAAACTAAACTAAAAAGAACAACTACAGTAGTACATAAATAATATTGAAATAACACCTAATTTAATGCATGTATTTTCTTATTGTATCTTAACTGAAACTGTAACAACGCTGAAAGAGAAAATAAAATACAACATTAAATTTGTATATATATATATATATATATAAACTAAACTAAAAAGAACAACTACAGTAGTACATAAATAATATTGAAATAACACCTAATTTAATGCATGTATTTTCTTATTTTCTGCTAAACAAAACAAGTCGAGAGTAGCGTATAATAGGTGGACCTGGCAACACAGAGCATATGTTGACCTGATACTTCAGCGCTGTGCCAATATGACGTATGTTGACAAGAAGGGAGGGGCGTTTTTACACCCAGCGGAATGGAAACTCTTTACGTCACCAAAGCGCACATAAAACACCGCCCTGAGAGAAGACAACTTTTAGTTTTGCAATCCACTGTGAAGACCTCAAAGCGCAGAGGTTTTAAACATTAGAAAACAGGTCTAGAACTGAAAGATTCCGATACGTTGTAAACACAATGGACGTCGAGGCCAAGAGAATC